CCCCATACAACAGAACTCTTCTATATTTAAACTTTTCATCATTATGCATAAAAAGTAATTTTAAAGAAACCAAAATTTAAGAACATTGTGGGCGAAATGTCAGATTCTGTTACAAACACAAGAATTTTAGTACAGGAAAGCAAACACATAAACTTCTTAGCTTTTCTGGAAGTTTTAAAGGGCAGCAAAAATATTTCAGAAACAAGGACTTTCGATATGAAAAGAAGCAGCTGAGCATTTTAACTGTTTTCAGACTTAAATTATATGCATGCATATATGCATATGCTCACATGCATACCACCTACCCCCACTGACAGTCTTGCTTGCTCTGGGAAATGATAAAATCCTTGAAGGTACTAGAATCAATCCTAAGCAGTGACTCTGTTTCTAGAACAAGCAAAAGAAAATGAATCTTGCTACTTGCCCAGTTCTTCAGTGGAATGCTATTTACTTTGCAATATAAAGGAAAAGATCTCATTTAAAAACTGCTAGTTAAGGGGTCTCATTTGTCAAACCATGATAGTTAGGGATTAACATTGTGGACAAATATAAGCCCAAGAATGCTTTGCTGATTAGGAGTCTATGCACAGAAATAGTGCCTCAGTCATACCAGCTGCCAACCAGGTACTACTGTGGTAAATATGCATATTCCATCTAATTCTGTAATTATGTATATTCCTTCTTCCTAAAAAAAAACAAAACAGGCAGAAACTCTTAAGTACAGTAACAGGAAAATTAGTTATGTGCATAAACTCAAATCTCTGACTGAAATAGCTCATGACTTGAGGATATTGGACTGTTCTGCAAAAAATCAGTTGATGCAGTTGTGCTAATTAAAGGAAGAAAGTGTTGTGAAACTGTAGAATTTTTTGCATGCATTCTACATTTTAACTTTTAAAACAAATCCTTTGAATCTGTTCTTGAACAAGCAGATTAAAAGCTATTATTGGCTTTATCTTTCTTTATCTAAAGAAAACATGCTCTGTATATTTAACCTTTGATCTTTCTGAGGAGTACAGTACCATCCCTTCGTGTTAGTGTGCCCTAGTATAATCCAAGGTTACACATAGATTATGTGCAGCATGTTTTCAATGTCTAGAAAATTAAAAACATTAGCAAAAATTCTGAATTGGTAAATTCTAGAGCTCTGTATAGAATCATAAGTACAATATAAACAAATATAATTAACACAAAGATAGTTATAGTATGGTAGCTATTCAGGAAGGTTCGTTAGAATCATTCGTTCATGACAACTTGCAGAACTGTGTTCAAGTCAGGTGAGCAATCAGAACTACCAGATTAACAATTCAGAATTTTTAACATTGCCCTAAGTAGATTTTTTCTCCTTTTCCCTGCATTGTTTCTCTCTCTTTCTCCTTCTCTTGAATTACATACTTATTTTCTCCTTGCCTTTTCTACATCTTAAAATATTTTCATTTCTTCTGTAACATCTTTATGAAAGAACAATGTAGTGCTTTGCTTTGTGTCCTGACATTCTGGAGAACTCCCTGTCATGTCTTTATTTCATCCATGGTGTTGGTTCTCAAGAGAAGGAAATAGTAGATGAAGAGAGAGAGCACAGGGGTAAGGGCTTGGGTTTGTTTGCAGTTTTACAGACTTATGCCTGCCCACGTCTTTCTTATTTTTCCCTTCCTTCCTCTCTGCCTCCCTCTCCCCCTCCCTCCCTCCCCATCAATACTTTAAAAATCATTCCCATTCATGTTGTGTGAGTGCACACGCTGGGAGAGATTACAGGGGCTCTGCTCCAGATCGCCTTGACAACTTCAAGGCATCCCTGTGCTTGGGGACCGGGGGCACAGCAAAGTTTCCCAGGCCCCCTGGGGATGGGGAGGGGAGAGGAAGAGAGGAGGCAGAGGTGTTGGAGCCAGCAGTGTGTGGAGGAGAGAGCAGCAAGTGGAATGAAAGGGCCACATACATCTCTCAGGGGACAATGGGAGTTTTGCTGGCTGACTGTGAAAAGACACACTGAGGATACAATGGTCTGTGACACATGAAAGCTCTGGGGACCCTTCCAGAGTCCCGCTCAGTTCTAAGAAATCTTGTCAACAACTTAAAAATGCAAAGAAAACAACCCCTTTCATTTTCTCATGCTTTAAAAACAGATTTTAAATATTTTTTAGATAATTCTTGTTGGTGGTATGCTGGAAGCTTTTGCAGTTCTCTGAGTTCCCATTAACTGTGGTGGGAGGGAAGGTTGCCCAGCAGCTCCCTAGTAAGGCTCTCAGAGGTGAGCACTTGCTTCTTCCTCATATAGCTTTTGTTCATACTTAGGTCTGACGTCCCTCTGCTTTGAAAGCTTTCTGCTATACATGCCACAAGCAGTTACAGGAATTGCTGTTCCCTATGTTCAGCCTGAGAAATCATTTATATGATAGCAAAACCAGGAACGAGGCTGAGCAACCTAAAATAAGGAGCTAGGTAATCACAGCCAGAGTGCACAATAGGAAACCAAGCTGGAAATCAGCTTACAAAGACAAGAGCATGACTCTTGCTCCCTGACACAGCACTTGCACATGGTTCACCACTCAATCCCAGAATCAATCCAAGAAAGAAACAGGCTCTAATCCTTCAACACAGCAATCTTTAGTGGTAAAATATGCCATACACTGACTCCTAGTGATTTTTGGAGTATGGGAGACTCAACCTTGTATCAAGTGTGCAGTACAAAAACAAATCAGGCTTGGTTAAAGCACAGGCACATATGCCTGTGAGCCCTCTGAGACTGACAGTGGTCAGCTTCTGGTCCTAAATCTATTACCTGTCAAGGGCAGGATGCTAGAATCCAACTGTTTCCAGAGCTGTGCATTTCCAAACATTCCTACCAAACAACATAGGTTAAAATTTCATGCTCAGGATGTAAACCAAGCTTAAAACTTACCTAAAACAGAAAAATCTATAGACTATTGTTGCTGCTTTATAAAGCAAGTAAGAACACACAAGAAAAAAGCAATTAAAATGTACAAAGATGGATTTGACTGGACTAGTACGTATGCATTCATTTTTCACTTTTTAAATTACATTCCATTTTAAGCTTCATACTACTACTTTAAAAATAAAGTTTGTAACACATGATCTCTGAGATAAACATTGTGGAATTCAATATCAGATTTGAGAGTCTCAAAAAATTATTTATTTTTTTGCATTGTTTAATAATATTTGCATTATTTTATATTTACATTATTTTGAGGACTCTAAAACGTATCTGAGCTTCCATCAACCAATAAGAAGGTTACAGAACTTGCTTCCTGTTTGTAATGATAAGAAAACTACTTATTACTTTCTAATATTTATAATTTTCCTCACAGAATTTCAAAACATAAATGCAAACTTACAATGAACAGTATCATTCAGTTTCACAGACAGAGAAGCTGAGCAGAGAAGTGAAGTATCATGTGCTTCTAATCTTGGATTTCCATTTTCAGTTTCTTACTGTACCAGTAACACTTTGCTATTCCACTACAATGGCACACATAAACCAAGAGATTCAGGGGATGAAACTGGTAATCTCCCTTTGCAGTTCCTTTTGTAGTTACAAATCTTACTGGCTCTAGTGGTTTCTGCTGAATGGACAGGCAAATACTAGATGAAATTAAAGGGTAAGTATGAAGAATGTGATTGGTTTTATACTTTAAAGATTTGATCAGAGTTTGGAACACAGCCTTCATCTCAGTTACATCAGTGACTAGAGTACTTTCACTGCAACTCCGTGGCACATATTTCCTCCTCTAGAAAGCAGACAGAAGTATGATGCATCTACAATATTCTGAGAAATCATTTAGTTTTGCCAGGCCATGATTCTAATTTTATATTTCCACATTATTTATATTCCTGCAGTCCTCTTGCCTTATTCTGAATGCTTTCTCCTCTGAGACAGATACCCAGGACAGAAGGTGGTGAACTTCCATTGTGTGTTCAAAGATGGCATCTCTATAAATGTGTGGGCAGTCTGCAGAAATATGGATTAGGCAATCCATATAGAAGGACATAATTAAGCAAATAGATCCTTTGGTGACTTCTTTTTTCATTTTGCACATTGAAAGCTTGATTCCCACAAGAAGCATCAGCACTGCTTTGAGACAGGTGATGCAGCTCTCCAGATGAAGTATAGGGAAAGTTACTGACTACTCGAAATTTTAAGGACCAATGGGGCATTGTAAGTAGAAGAACTCTCACTGCATCTGCTGGGAAGAGAAAGAGCATTTCCATTTCTGACAGTCCTCATAGGACCCTCATTCTCACCGATGCAGAGCTC